TAATAATAATAATAAAGTTGGAAGGGACCTTGGAGGTCATCTAGTCCAACCCCCTGCTCAGGCAGGAAACCCTATACCCTTTCAGACAAATCGCTGTCCAGTCTCTTCTTAAAAACCTCCAGTGTTGGAGCATTCACTGCAGCAAGAAAGATCGCAAGATCGGGACAAAACTCAATCTAACAACTGTCTCGTTTAGCAACGGAAATCTGTACTCATACCTTTGGTTTTTTTTCCCTGCCTAAATGTAAAACTTTGCTTTTCTCCACATTGAAGTTCATTTTGTTGGATAGGACCCATTGTTCGATTTTGTCGAGATCTTTTTGGATCCTGAGTTTGTCTTCCGGGGTGTTGGCTACTCCTGTCATTTTGGTGTCATCTGCAAATTTGATGAGTTCTCCTTCAATTCCCTCATCTAAGTCATTGATGGAGATGTTGAAGAGTTGCTGGGCCCAAGACGGAGCCTTGTGGTACCCCCCTGCTTACTTCTCTCCATGTGGATGTAGTGCCATTGAGGACTACTCGTTGAGTACGGTTTGCCAGCCAGCTACAGATCCATCCATAGACAGATGTTGTCTATTCCACTTTTTCTAGCTTACCAAGGAGCAGATTGTGGTCTACTTTGTCGAATGCTTTACTGAAATCTAAGTATACCACCTCCATTGTGTTTCACTGGTCTTCTAGTCCAGGGCTTTTCAACCAGTGGTACGGGTACCACCTGTGGTACATTGGCACCTGGCAGGTGATATGGGACCATCCTAGAAAAGTGGTAGCAGGGGAGGGGAATGAAGCTGAACTGGTGGCAGCACCGCACAAGCCTGAGTGAGAGATGGCTGGAGCTGCAGGGCTGTCAGGGCTCAGAGGAAGCGCCAGGATCAGTGCCACTTTCCAGCTGATCAGTGCTTTTTCGGGGCTGTCAGGGCTCAGTGGAAGCACCAGGATCAGCGCCAGGCTCCAGCTGGAGCTCGGCGCTGATCCTGGCGCTTCTGCTGAGCCCAGAAGAAGCGCCGATCAGCTGGAATGTTGCAGCCTCTCCAGGGTCTTGTGATTTATATTCAGATGCTTGGCAACTGATTCATATTTATGACGGTCACAGTGTCCCAGGGTCATGTGAAGGGACCAAAA